ACATATTTTCAAACTGAAATGTCTTACTCAAAAAACAATATAAATAAACATATGATGTTTGATGGTATACATAAACATTTTTTTTATATAGAAAAAAATATATAATTATAGATCGATCTGTCTAACTATTAGTCTGATTAGAACAAGGATTGGGTACTTGTGAGATCCATGATGAGGTTAGTTTAATAGATTTCTTACGTGGCCGAATCCCTTTCGTTCAATTTAATGCATGTGTCATGTGTGTTGATCGTCGAAGATCGATTTTGCTATGAAGCCAACAGTTGGCTCCATAGTGGAGTCAATCTTCTATATACAACAAGTAAACTTATCATATTCTCTTAGTACTTAAATAACACTAATATAATTTTATTAATATAGTAAGTTTATTTACTGTATATAGAATATTGGCTCCACTATAGAGCCAACTATTGGCTTCATAGCAAAACCGTGTCAAAGATTTGTAATTTACCTAACTTTCATGCATGTGAATACAGAGGCAACATTTATGAAATTATTTTGTGTCATCACTAAAATATTCCACTTATTTTGGCATGTTTCGTTTTTCAACACTCTTCAATTGAACGAAATGTAGTTTCAGAATATTAATTGTGCATACAAAAAATCCAGAAATGTAACTAAATAACTATATATGTAAACCTTATTAATCAAGGAGAAATAATTGAATACATAATAATTACTATATATAATTTTGATAACTATGAAGGAAGGATAATAAAAATTTAAACATGTGGAAAATAATTTAATTATAGGGAACATTCTTGAAAGTACAACTAATACGAAATGAGGGAGTAATAATTTAATGCCGACAATTTATATTTATCAATCAATTTCATTTTAGTATATTATTTATTATTAAATAAAAGGATATGCTAGAAAAAATTATGATAGTCTAGCTAATTACGTGTACCTTAATCTGGGTGAAAAGTAGTTTATGGATAGATATAGTAATTAAGTGCCGGCTTTTATTTAATAATTCTGATTTGGCTTTTTAAAAGTGCCACTTGTTTCTTTGGAATATAAAGAAAGTTTTCAAAAATAAAAAAAAAAAATTAAAAACAATTAATGATGAATAATCATGCCTCGATCTGGAAGTTAGGTCATATATTTAATACTCTCTCCTATTTTTTTTTTCAAATGTCATTCTAGTTTTATCAATTATTTGTTAAATAAATGTCTAATACTCTCTCCTATTTTTTTTTTAAATGTCATTCTAGTTTTATCAATTATTTGTTAAATAAATGTCGTTTTGAATATTTTGTACAAATTTTTCCATTATTACCCTTATTTAGCTAATAAATACATTACGTCTTTTCATATTCACTATTTACTTTTTCTCAAAACATTCATCTCTATCTTTATTAAATAAGGTTATTATTGACAAAAAAATATTTTTAATTAATGTGCAACTTCGACATTTATTAAAAATAGGAGGTAGTATGCGAATTGATATTCATACACTTTTATGAGGTTAATTAATAAAAAAATGTAGTATAATTGTTCCAATTCATTGATTTTTCAACTTGGACAAAGAATGAAAGAAAAATATGAGCATGTTCTTTGACCAACATTATTGTCTCAAATAAATTATATATCACCTATCAATTTGGTTCTAGTATATCAAATATTTATTTACTACAATTTAATCAGAATAATTAAATTTACCTATTACTTAAATAAATATCAATCTTACTTTTTTCAATAGATATATAAATCAGCAATATTCAATCTGTAATTAAATAAATATCAACCTTATTTTTTCAACTAATACTATAGAAATCGTTTCAAACTGCAATGTCATAATTAATCTAAAAAAAAGCTTAAGCAAAAATATGACATTTCGTAGTACAAATATACAGTTTCCTAAAACTAGCACAGAACAAAAACATTGACATATTCTAACAGAAAATTCTTCGTTAATATATTCTAATAGAAATTCAAATGGTATAACTTTCGCTGAAATGATTCTAACCAAAATTTCAATAAAAACATTCAATTGAAATGGGTTTTTCTATTGGGATTCCAGATGAAATTTGATTATTCCAACATATATTTTCCAACGATTTTTTAACGTAGGAATTTCCATTGAAATATGCAATTCTCATTGTAATTTTTATATTTCCACTATATTTAGAGACCTTTGAAAAAACTACCGTTGAAATCATCAAGATCCAACAGAAATTTTAATTGAATACAAACTCCAACAGAATATTCTTGTTGGAATTTCTATTAGAATCTATTGAAAAAAATTCAACTAAAATAATAACATCAAAATATTCATTGAAATTGCCGTTGAAATGTCATTAAAAATATATTTCCTTTAGAATTCTCTAGTGGTAGAAGCACCTCACACACAAAAAGGTGTGTAAATCTAATTTCAAACAGAAATGTCATCCTTAACACAACATAAACAATTGTGTATAATTCATAAAAGGGTTAATTGTGAAATAAACCTTAATATTTTTGCGTTTGACAATTTTATCTCAATCTTTGGGTAATTGCAATTTAATCTCGACCTTAATTTACTTATTGCAAGTCGAACCTAAAACCGGTTGGATCTTCAAAAAACCGGTCGATTTGAAGGCGGTTCGAAAAGATCGGAGCTCATATTTACCGATTCACTCCAAATCTAGGAGAAGACTCATCACCGGTAGCTTACATTGACGTGGAATTTTCGGCTTTGTGCGTGGTTTTACATTAAATACGTGGAAATTATCAACTTGCTACGTGGATGACATAAAAGCCCATCTCAATGGAAGATTTGGACACACAATCGATCCACAAATCCCTAAAATCAATCACTCTGCACTCAAATTTGTAATAAATAAATTGAGGTTAAGATTATATTACAATTACCCAAAAATTAGAATAAAATTACCACACGTAAAAAAAAATTAGATTTATTTTGCAATTAACCGTTCATAAAATAAACAAACGTACAACTTCCTTAATCAAGTACCACGAGTTTTAAAGTACCAATAAATGAGTAACACGTGAAAAATCAACATACATAGAATAGAAGACACAAAAAGACTTCACATGGCTGTGGCTTATGAACCCTACTCGTTCACGTATCTTAAATTAAATTAATTAATTCAAGACACGACATATATTATTATGGCCAAATTTCATATTAATATACTATATTTCATGTTTT